ATTTGTGGTTCCCGAGTTGAAAGTTGCGGACAAGTTGCTGCGGACACACACACACAACACACACACAGACAACCTCGTGACAATATGTGTTTTGTACTGCTGTTACACAGCACAAAACGCATAAAAAAAAGCAGAAAAGAGCAGCAGCGTGAATAATCCGTGAAGATAACGTAAGTGATCGATTAAAGAGAAGCAGCAGCCCAGCAATGTAACGGGCACAGTTTCGTCACAAAAAACTGAGTGCTGCTTCATGTGGGTCCGAGGCTAGTCCCGAGAAGTTGTACGGGGAGGGGGAGAGGAGGGGAAAAGAAAACGGAAATATATGCAGAGGCACAAATTTATTTGGCAAAAAAATAATTGGCCAACGCACGGGCCGCCCGTGTGAAAATGCATTTTTTGCATAGTTCTCCGCAGTTTCTGTCTCCACCGGCATTGATTTTTCCGGCAAATGCGTCTAGCTAAAAAAATTGAGACTGGCCGTCAGAACTGTCAGGAAACACACCCTTAAAATTCCAGCTTTCTAGCTTTCTAGGCTCCTAAATGAGCAACTTACACGAAAAAAATTTGGCGGGCCCTTATGTGGTTACCACGCGTACCCGGAGTCTGAGTTTGAGCTCAATGAGACTTAGGTGAACGGGGAAAATCCTCTAAAAATTACACTCCTCTAGCCTTTCAAATTCCCGAGTTATAAACCTAGCCAAAAAGAAAACTTTGGCGGACCCGTACGCGGGTACCACGCTTAACCGCGGGATGGATTTCAGTGCATCAACACCTATTTGGACGGAAAACATCACTCTATGATTTCAGCGTTCTAGCTTCTCAAATCCCCGAATTATGAACCTACCCGAAAAAGATTTTGGCGGGCTCGTACGCGGATACTACGCGGGTGATGGCGCCCATTTTGGGGATTGGGGCCCGTACGTGCATGTAGATTAAGTTCCCGAAATTTCAGGCCCGCAGCTTTTATAGATCTTGAGATGAAAAATGCGTGACAGACGCACACACAGACACACAGACAACCCCTCGTCATTATGCGTTTTTGCATTGCATGGCTGCAAAAAATGTATAGAAAACGAACACCTTTGATGCGGTTTTTCTGTTTGTTTGATGCTGTTTCCATGTTCTGTGCGTGCCGCACCGAGGAGATCTGGAAGGAAACAGAGACAAGCTGCTGCTGTTACGGCTGAAGCACAATAAAAAGCACTGCTTTTTGCTGAGCGAATCGTCTCTCTCAGTATTTATTCCAACTTTTCTTTCTCCGGCCAGCATCTCTGTTAGG